GCTTCAGCGCTCGCGCTCCCCTAAGAAGGGGGGCACAATGCGATTGCTTTCAGCAATTGTTTGGCGCTGACTGCGATCGCAGCTGAGATACTTTCGGCAGTGATGTATCTTAAAGTGCGTGTGCCAAGCAATTAGCGTGTAAATTCGTGTGTGCGTGTTAATTAAAGCCACCTTGGCTGGCCACGAAACAACACCCCTGAAACGCAAAAACAAATTAATAAATGCCAAAAGAAAAACAAAAACAAAAACAAAATATGTTAAGCAGCCGCCGACAACGCCAACAACTCACTTCGTATCCGTGCGCTACCGGATGACGCGTATTGATAGATATTCGCCATAAAGTGGAAAGAAATACAACAGTATGCAAATTCGCTCCGCTTTGCCGGCTGCCATATGCTGCTAGAAATTCCTCAATAAATTTCGACTGGAAACTCAAATCTGAGCCGAGCTGCAGCTAAACTCAAGTTTATTTATAAATCATTAGCTCACTGCCAAAGTGCAATTAATTATGCAACATTTTTCAAGTAAATAACAATTGAAAGTGACATCAGCTGCGGTTCGCACTCTCCACAATTTAATTCGATTTTATTATCTACCCTTTTTTCTCCATTTTTGCTTTGTTATTACTTTTATTTATAACTCGTTGCGAGCTTGCCATATTTTGTTATATTCCCTCTTTTTTTTTTTTTTGGCTTTATGTCTTGAAGTGTTTTCATATCTTGGCTTTTATCGTTAGGCAAACAAGTGAAACATAAGTTCGAAGAAACCAAAAATAAAAAAACATTTAAATATGTCGTACAATTGAATTAAATGCTAAACTTAATTGCTTTGACTGGCTCAAAGTTCGTACGCTGTATGAGAAACAATTTCATTTTCTTTCAACAACATTCAACAAACAACATCAACACGAAACATTGTTACAATGAAGTTTCCGGATTATGTGCCTAACAACATGTTGGTAAGCAACAACAACAAGTGTTTTGCCCTAGGGTGTGTCTATCTCTATCTCCCTCTCTAGCTCACTGTCTGCTTAGTTTTTCCTTATAATCGTCGGGCAGCGTTAAATGCTCTATAAATCAAGTTGTTACGACTTAAATTATGAATAAATCCGAGCTTTACACAGATAAACCATCTAAATTGGATGACAAAGAAATATTTTTTATGAAGGTTAAGTTACATAAAACTTGACGCTTTGGAATTTCTCAAGTGCTCCAAACAGGTAGAACTCCCCACTTAAATTCCAAGCATTCAAAAAAAATCATCATTATCTTATGGGAAGTTAAAAGCGGTTTACAGTACATACATACTTGCTCAATGTGATCATTTTGATTACGTTTTTGATTTCTGATTAAATATTAGGTCATTGTAATCAAGGTATTCAGAATATTTTAAGTTGTTATTAGGTCTACCTTATATACCTTGTGTATTGCTTCTGTGTGTTATTTAGAGAAGTCTTAAC